AAAAAAAAAAAAAAAAAAAAAAGTATGAGTTATGATGATGTATGAACTATGTCGTACGATGCGGTATATGAGTTATGATGATGTGTGGATTACGATACTTGATGATTGGTGCAGTATATATATTTTGATGAATGTTGTACTTGATATGTTTGATGCACTTTGTGACAATATGATGAGTATGATGATTGCGTGACGTTTACCTTAATATGATAATGTTTTCCATATTGAGCATGCTATATGATGATGAGTGCCATATTGCATCATGTCGTTAGATCGACATAGGACACAACCTTAAGAGCATGAAAGTGATATTAATATAAATATCCACGAGTATGTGTTACCTCGAGTAACAAAGAGACGAGACTAGAGGGTTGTGTCAGAAGAGACATTATGATGGATTTAGAGGGACATCATGCATATTGTATGTTCATAAGCATAGGGCTACTTCCCCTAGAGATGATGAGTGCGGACGCGCACCGTATGATGAGCGCGAATGTGCACAGGTGCGAACGCACAGAGATGAGGGTGTTCATGAGGCGCATGACACTATGGGGTTCTTGATAAGCGCCTACAATGCTGGAATTTGCAAAGCTAGAGGTCCTTCTAAAATCCTTGCAAAACGCTCACAGAGAAAGCTAACTTAACGGATTGATTCCAACCAAGAGCTGGTTAAAAGATGAATGACTCTTAGATCGAACTTGGAATCTATGATGGTCACTCTTAGATACCAAGACAATTTACTCTAGAATTAGCTTGATCAAAACTAATTCAATGAATCGGTTTAAACATCAAACCTAAGGCAAGGTTTGAAAAAAAATAACACCAAAAGGTATCAAGAAAACACAAAGGTTTTTTTCTGTATTCAACCAAAATCCCTCAAACATGAGTATTACATGCCTTTAAATAGGCTCAAAAGATAACCTTAACAAAATAAAGTTCAGACACCGACCACTAATAAATGCTATTAAATGCAAATTGAAGAATACAAGGCAATTCATACAAACTATTAATAAATGCTATTAAATATAAATTGAAGCAAAAAAGGCATTAATAAATTGTCTTAATTGGTAGTTCAACTACCGCAAGTCTTCTAATTATTTTTCAATATCAGCCACTCCATTATCTTCTTGATTTGATATGCTAATGCTATAAAGATTTTTGGGCTCAAAAGTCTTTGTTTCAACCTGTACACTAGCTAGCTTTTGAAGATGCAATGTATAGGCCTCTTGAATCTTCTTAACCTTGCTTCTTGTAATCGGTCCTTCGGGTACATGCAAAGGGTCAGCAGTTGAATTCATATCATCCTCCCTTTCTTTAAAAGGATTTGTCCTCAAATCAAGGTCTTCATTCCCTACATCAAATGGAGTCAAATCAGCCACATTAAAAGTGGAACTTACATTGTACTCACCTCTGAGATCTAGCTTGTATGCATTGTCATTGATCCGCTCTAGTACTTGAAAAGGACCATCTCCTCTTGGTTGAAGTTTTGACTTTCTCTGACTTGGAAACCTTTCCTTTCGTAGATGGATCCAAACCCAGTCACCTTGTTTAAAAATCAATTTCTTTCTTCCTTGGTTCTTGTGCGTGACTAGTTTTTGATTTTTGTTTTCAATTCTTTCTTTTATGTCTTTGTGAATTTTTTTTATGTATTCGGCTCTTGAAGAAGCTGCATCGTTAGCAAACATATTAGGTGGCAAAGGCGATAAATCTAGAGGAGTTAAAGGATTAAATCCATACACAACCTCAAACGGTGAACACTGAGTGGTACTATGTAATGCTCTATTGTATGCAAATTCCACAAAAGGTAGAGTCTCTTCCCAAGACTTAAGATTTTTAGAAATTAGTGACCTAAGTAAGGTTCCTAATGTTCTATTAACTACCTCAGTTTGTCCATCGGTTTGGGGGTGACATGTTGTAGAAAATAGAAACTTAGTTCCCAACTTTCCCCACAAAACCTTCCAAAAATGGCTTAAAAATTTTACATCCCTGTCACTAATAATGGTTTTGGGAATACCATGCAATCTAACCACTTCCTTAAAGAATAGATTAGCTATATTGGTAGCATCATCTGTTTTGTTACATGGAATGAAATGTGCCATCTTACTAAACCTATCAACCACCACAAAAATGCTATCATGGTGTCTTCTAGTCTTTGGTAATCCTAGAACAAAATCCATGCTAATGTCAACCCATGGTTCACTAGGAACATCTAAAGGTGTGTAAAGACCATGTGGTTGTGTCTTAGACTTAGCCTCCTTACATTTAAAACATTGCTTGCATACTTTGTTCACATCTTTCCTCATTTTCAACCAATAAAAATGTTCACACAACATGATATATGTTTTAAATTCTCCAAAATGTCCCATAAGTCCTCCCCCATGAGCCTCCTTCACAAGTAACTCTCGAATAGAATATCTAGGGATACAAAGTTTACCCTTCCTAAAAAGCATATCATCGAACACCATATGATCTTGCACATGTTTCCCTTCTAAACATTGCATATACACATCATAAAATTCAGATTTTTCAACTTTGTACAATTCAATCATGTGTTTAAAACAAAAAATAAAGCATACCTTCTTGATAATGCATCTGCGACCACATTATCCTTCCCCTTTTTGTAATGGATTACATAAGGAAACATCTCAATGAATTCCACCCATTTAGCATGTCTCCTATTTAGCTTTGTTTGGCTTTGGAGGTGCTTCAAACTTTCATGGTCCGTATGAATAATAAACTCTTTTGGCCACAAATAATGTTGCCAAACTTGCAAAGCCCTCACAAGTGCATATAACTCTTTGTCATAAGTTGGATAGTTGAGTTGTGCTCCATTAAGCTTTTCACTAAAGAACATGATTGGCCTTTTTTCCTGCATTAAAACAACCCCTATGCCTATCCCACTTGCATCACATTCAATTTCAAAAGATTTATCAAAGTTAGGTAAAGCAAGACAAGGTGCATTGGTTAATTTATCTTTCAGTTCATTGAATGCATTCTCTTGTTTTTCCTTCCATTCAAATTTCACATGCTTTTTAACAAGTTCATTCAATGGTGATGCTAACTACTGAAATCCTTAATGAATCTCCTATAGAAACTAGCCAAACCATGAAAAGATCTTACCTCGGTTGCTACCTCGGTTGCATTTGTGGGTGTTGGCCATTCTCTAATAGCTTTTACCTTTTCTTCATCAACTTGTACTCCCTTCTTTCCAACTAAGAACCCTAGGAAGTTGACTTGGTCTAGACAAAAACTGCACTTTTTGAAGTTGGCATAAAGCTTCTCATAAAGCCCAAACTTTGTTTTGAAAGCCGTTTTTCACTCATCTCCCACATTCATTCGAATTTAATGATAACCACTTTTAAGATCTATTTTTGAAAACAGATTAGCACCATATAATTCATCCAACATGTCATCCAATCTAGGAATAGGGTGTCGATACTTTACAGTGATCTTGTTGATGACTCGACAATCAACACACATCCTCCACGTGCCATCTTTCTTGGGTACCAAAATCACAGGAACCGAACAAGGACTCATGCTTTCTCTAACATATCCTTTATCCAGGAGTTCTTCCACTTGTCTCTGAATCTCCTTAGTCTCGGTGGGATTGGTCCTATAGGCAGCCATATTTGGAAGAGTTGCCTCAGGTACGAAGTCAATTTGGTGTTCAATCCCTCTTAGAGGGGGTAACCCCGTACATGCATCTTCATGTGAAAATATGTCATTGAATTCCTGCAAAAGAGACTTAAAAGCACTTGGCAAAGCATCATTAGTTTTTGGTTCCATTGCTAAACACATTCCTTTGCACATAAGTACAAATTTTGGTTCTTGGGCTAACATATTCCTCATTTTTTCCATTCTTATAACCAAACTCACATTTTCTCTCTTTTATTCAAAATCATTTTTTTTTCTCTCTTGGTTTCACTCATCCTTTGCCCCTCACTTTTCTCTTTTTTTTTTCACTCTTATCTCTCTCTTTTACCTTAGTTTCTTCTCTCCACTGTTGTTCTTCATATTCTTTTCTTTTCTTCTCTAATTTCAATTGGTCACAATGTACTTCATATGGAGACAATGGAAGTAAAGTAAATTTCTTCCCACACAAAGTAAAAGTATACTTGTTCATCAAACCATCAAATGTTACCTTTCTATCATATTGCCAAGGTCGGCCGAATAAGATGTCCCCCGCATGCATTGGTACGACATCACAAAGAACTTCATCTTTATATCTTCCAAGAGTAAAAGAAATAAGAGCTTGGGAGTTCACCTTAATTTCTTCTTTGTTTGTTAACCAATGAAGTTTGTATGGTTTTGGATGGGGATGGACAGAAAGTTGAAGTCTTTTTACAAGGAAGCTGCTTACCACATTTGTGCAACTTCCACTATCAATCACCAAGCTGCATGGGTTTCCTTTGACCAAACATCTTGTGTGGAACAAGTTTTCCCTTTGATCTTCAAATTTCTCTACCTTGATTTGAACATTGAGTACCCTTCTTGTGATCAAAGATATGGAATTACCTTCTTCAACATACTCATCATCATATGCTGCGATTTCTTTCACAAGCTTTGAATCATGATCCTCACATTCATCATCTGAATCAAGTATACCATTTCTTATCACCATAACTTTTTTATTAACACACTCTTTGCTCATGTGTCCAAACCCTTTGCACTTCCAACATTGAATAGAACTAGACTTCTCCTGTACCGTCTTTGAAGCTTCATTCTTTTTACAATTGGAACTCTCAGCCTCCACTCTTTTAGCAGCCACAAACTTTTCTTTTGGTGACATTGATTCATTTCTATTCACAAAACTATCCTTGTTCCAAGTTTTAGAATTTGAAAAGGTGTTAGTTCGTGATGTGTACCTTTTTGAATGCTCTTTTTCTTCCTTCAATTGGTCTTCAATTTTAAGAGCATAATGACACATGTCTTCCAGATATGGTGGTGGATTTCTGTCAACAAGATGAGCAATTTCTCGATTCAAACCTCCAAGGAATCTAGACATGGTATCTTCTTCTTCTTCTCTAACATTTGCTCTTTCCATCATAGTTTCCATCTCTTGATAATATTCCGCCACACTTTTTGTTCCTTGTCTCAAACCTTGCAATTTAGTTTTCAAATTTCTTTCATAATGTTTTGGAACATACCTTTTTCTCATGGCTTCTTTAAGTTCTTCCCATGTCTCTACTGGATCCTCCTCTTTTCTTCTTCTCTCAGATTTGAGATGTTGGTACCAACAGCATGATTGGTAAATTCGGCAATAGCAAGTCTCATCTTCTTATTTTCACTATAGGTGTTGCAATCAAACACATGCTCTATCTTTCTTTCCCACTGCAAGTATGCCTCAGAATCTGCCGTTACACAAAAGGGCGGGATTTTGAGTTTAACTCCCCCATCTCTATCTTCATGTACTCTTTCCATCCTTCTAGGTTGCATAATAGTTGCATGGTTATTTCTTCCTCTCCATCTACCATCAACTTGTCTTTCTTGTACTACTATACCTTCATCTTCTTGTAATGTTCGTTCTTGTCTTTGTTGTTGCGCCCTTCTTTCTTGTCTATCTTCCATCATCATTTCCATCATACCTTGAATTGCTTGAAGAATGGTTGTATTAAGATCTGGTACTGGTGGTACTGCTTCTCCATTATGTGACATTTTGTTATCAAGGGACCTCACCACACTTCTCACAAAAATTTCACTCAGGGACACTTGTGTTTAACACTCAAAGGTAGGCTTTTGATACTAGGTCAAGAATGTAAAGGCTGGCCTTTTTTTTTTTTTTGTGTAGTCTTGCTTTAAGCTTGATTATAACCAATTCAACGATCAATTCTAACAAGCTAAGACTAGTATCTCAAGGATCAAGAGCTTGAAAATAAATGATAAGAATTGAATATATATATATATTTTTTTTTCTCTCAGAACTGATTTTTTTTTCTACTGATTTTTTTTTTCTTTTTTTTTTCGATAATCTGAGAGAGGAAAAAAATTTATACAAAAAAAAATAACAATAAAAATATTTCACCTCTAGAGTGGCCAAAGAACGTCGACCAAATGCTCTGATACCAAATTATAAGCGCCTACAATACTGGAATTTGCAAAGCTAGAGGTCCTTCTAGAATCCTTGCAAAACGCTCACAGAGAAAGCTAACTTAACAGATTGATTCCAACCAAGAGCTGGTTAGAAGATGAATGACTCTTAGATCGAACTTGGAATCTATGATGGTCACTCTTAGATACCAAGACAATTCACTCTAGAATTAGCTTGATCAAAACTAATTCAATGAATCGGTTTAAACATCAAACCTAAGGCAAGGTTTGAAAAAAAATAACACCAAAAGGGTATCAAGAAAACACAAAGGTTTTTTTTCTGTATTCAACCAAAATCCCTCAAACATGAGTATTACATGCCTTTAAATAGGCCCAAAAGATAACCCTAACAAAATAAAATTCAGCCACCAACCACTAATAAATGCTATTAAATGAAAATTGAAAAATATAAGGCAATTCATACACACTATTAATAAATGCTATTAAATATAAATGGAAGCAAAGAAGGCATTAATAAATTGTCTTAATTGGTAGTTCAACTACCAAAGGCAAGTCTTCTAATTATTTTCCAATATCAGCCACTCCATTATCTTCTTGATTTGATATGCTAATGCTATAAAGATTTTTGGGCTCAAAAGTCTTTGTTTCAACCAGTACACTAGCTAGCTTTTGAAGATGCAATGTATAGGCCTCTTGAATCTTCTTAACCTTGCTTCTTGTAATCGGTCCTTCGGGTACATGCAAAGGGTCAGCAGTTGAATTCATATCAGTTCTGCTGACCTCCGAACGTCGCTACAAATTAGCTTGACCAGAGGGTCCAGGGGGTGTGCGAGCGCCATGGAGATTCACACTCGTACGTGTGAGTCATGTGTAGGGAAGTACTACACATCCAATTTGTCCGAGACTGGAGGCCACCCCTAAGATGATTAGAGATAGATCCCTAAATCATGATTGCATGGCCCCTATAGTGGGGCCACTTACCGAGTATTCTTTGAAATACTCAGGCTGTGTGCCACATCATTTTTCAGGTAAAGGCAAGGCGTACTTGTACGGAGGACGGCGGCATCGCGAGCAGAGACTGTGGCACATGCATAGGGTAGACTCATATTTAAATTCGTAGTTTTAAGTTAGAATAGGTTGTTTTGCATTCCATTGTTTTAAATTATTTTGTATTTATTTTTATTTTCTCTAAATTTTAGTATTTTGTATTTAAACACGTAAGACCATGACTGTGTTTTCCAGATAAAAAGCTTTTTTAAACGTTTTTCAAAGTTTACATTATAAATGATGTTCATGTAAGAATTATATTTTCGCATTATAGATGAGTGGCGACTCTAGATATGTGGAAATTTAGAATCGTTACAACTTTACTTGAACCTAATAATTGTGGCATTGAATTTCAAGCTTATGCCCTTTTTTCCATGATGCCTATTCCCAATTGTTTGAGTATCCTTGTGTACTTAACTTAAAAAACGAGCATTTCATAGAAAGTTTTTCAAAATTATCTAACTTAGAAAACGAAGACACTTTAAATTTTTTACGGAAGTAACCAATAAAAAAAAATGATGGAAACATGGTGAAATGTAGTGAAATAAAGAAAGAGGAATTTAATCTCTTATTTTTACTCCTCTCTTAACATCTTATGATCTCTTCTACTTAAAAAGAGGTGTAAACTTTCTATGCTTCCTAAGAGCTAACTAGACGCCATCTTACGATGTATTAGGGTCTTTATACATTTTTTTAAAACTAAGAAATACTCGTTCTATTCATCATCTGAGTTTTGGCATAACCACATTGGTGATGAAAGTTATCCAACTACTAGTATTACATCCAACAAAGTTGCTTATGCATGCTCACTTTTGTTCAACTTATTCATACAAATAAAAACATAAACAAGCCACTTCTATATACAAGTCACTTTTATATCTTAACAAGTAGTTTTAGGAGTTTAAGGTCTTTGGAGAAGGATCCTAAAGGAAAAAGTAAGCCTAAAAGACAAAAAGGTCATTTTTTTTTCAAATTTTAAGGAACTGCCCTGAATTATTTATTTTTTATCTAGAAGGAATTTTAAGGTGCTCAAGAAGAGAAAAATGACCCGCAACATTTTTTTTAGAAGAATTTTATATGTTTAAGAACAATAATAATAAAATATTCAGAAAATGTCAAATTACAAAAAAAAAAAAAAAAAACCACTAAACTTTGGATATTTACAAAAATGCCACATAGAAAAAAATCAGATCTGTAGCAGTAAGCCGTGATTAGAAAGTCTTTCATATCTTCAAATCCAATCGTTGGATATTCACAAAACTTGAGTATGTTCTAGAGGACACAAAACTAACCACATCCAACGGTTAGAATTCAAATTGGAAGTCGGTAGCTCTCTGATCGGAGATGATATTTCCGACGTATAATCTAGAAATCTCATTCTTCAAATCACGGCGATTCTGGAGGTTTCAACATCGTTTTAAGCTTCCCCTATAAAGTCTAAAGTTGGAGCATTTATATGGAACAAGAATCGAGTAAGGTCGAGCTCTCAACTGTGAGTTATAGTCGTTTAGTTTTTGGGTTTCCTACTGTCGATTTCTTTGAAATTCAAGTGCAATTATCCACCATTTCCCTTAAAACTTGTTCCTACCGCTTCTAAACAAAAATTAACCACAAGTTTTATGAAGGAATCAAGTGATGAAAGAGCTTCAAACTCATTCCCCCACTTGATAAGGCAACCCTAATCCTCAGCCCAACGATCCAAGGTTTTGTTTGAGCAAGAACCCTTGAATCAAAGTAATTAACACCTCCTTATACGAAATTTGGATCTACCAAGAGATAAGGCTAGAATTAAATTACCTCTTACGATTGTAGATCTAGAAGCAAGATTTGGATACCTTGTTCTAAATTGAGTCACTCCACAATTAAACTTGATCAAGACTTGATTGAATGGCTCGAGTGCAATTCTACCACAAGAATTGCTTGAAACTTAAAAATGACAAATATGATGCTCGAATTTCTAAGGGAAACGTCTCAATTTGAGATCTAAATTACATTCATCCATGAATCTGAATTTTACATAAGGTGGGTATTTATAGTCGCCCGACTTTGTGGACGAAATTTATTCCCGATCCCCTTTAATCTCCACAAAAGAACAAGTCAAATTGACCCTTTGACTTTTACTTAATTTATAAAATTAAAAATAGTTTTTTTTTCATAAATGATGATGTGTTTGAGTGGCTAATGCAATAGGTTTAAAATGCATAGGTTCGAATTTTGTTGTTGACATATTTTTTAAATCTTCTTGGCAATAGGTGCATTTGGAACACCGTGATTCTTATCATCTTCCCCCTCTTCAGAAGGATATGCTTCATTCTCCGGTAAAGACTCACAAAAACAAGAATTCGTCCTCTAGAAAAATCATCACCTTCTTTACCGGAGTGTATAATAAGGAAATTAGAAAAGGATATGCTTCACTCTCCGGTAAAGACTCACAAAAATAAGAATTCGTCCTCTAGAAAAATCACCACCTTCTTTACCAGAGTGTATAATAAGGAAATTAGAAAAGGATATGCTTCACTCTCCAGTAAAGACATACAAAAATAAGAATTCGTCCTCTAGAAAAATCATCACCTTCTTTACCGGAGTGTATAATAAGGAAATTAGAAGGAATAGGAACAACTCTCCGGTAAAGACTCACAAAAATAAGAATTCGTCCTCTAGAAAAATCATCACCTTCTTTACTGGAGTGTATAATAAGGAAATTAGAATGAATAGGAACCAAATTATTAGAAGGAAATTAGAAGGAATAAGAACCAAATGAGTGTATAATCAATAAGAATTCGTCCTTGAATTAGAAAAATCATCACCTTCTTTGTCAGAGTGTATAATAAGGAAATTAGAAGGAATAGAAACCAAATTATTAGAAGAGGAACCAAATGAGTGTATAATCTGCATGCTTCACTCACCGGAATAATCTGCATGTTTCACTCACAAAAATATTAGAAGGAATAGGAACCAAATTATTAGAATGAAATTAGAAGGAATAGGAACCAAATGAGGGTATAATCTGCATGCTTCACTCACAAAAATATTAGAAGGAAATTAGAACCAAATGAGTGTATAATCTGCATGCTTCACTCGCACAAATATTAGAAGGAAATCAGAAAGAATAGGAACCAAATTATTAGAAGGAAATTAGAAGGAATAGGAACCAAATGATATTGTTTGAATCTTCTTGTCAATAGGTCCTTTTGGAACCGTAATTCTTATCATCTTCCCCCTCAAAATATTGAAATTAGAAAGAATAGGAACCAAATGAGTGTATAATCTGCATGTTCCACTCACAAAAATATTAGAAGGGAATTAGAAGGAATTTGAATCTTCTTGGCAATAGGCCTATTTGGAACACTATGATTCTTATCATCTTCTCCCTCAAATTATTGAAATGAGAAGGAATAGGAACCAAATTATTAGACGGAAATTACAAGGAATAGGAACCAAATGAGTGTATAATCTGCATGCCGGAGTGTATAATCTGCATGCTTCACTCACCGGTATAATCTGCATGCTTCACTCACAAAAATATTAGAAGGGAATTAGAAGGAACAGGAACCAAATTATTAGAAG